TCATACCCCACCACTTGCGTTTCTGGTTACTGACTATCATCATAACGCGAATCTTTGTAGTCGTCGAACCCCCTTTACTATATGGTGCACTGTCTTTCAAGGCACTCTTTAGCTATCGACTGTTATACGATATGCGATAAACTTTGTACCTACCTTATCGATGAGATAGGTGTGCAGACAACGCCTAAAATGTCGGTCATCCACTGATTCTCTCAAGACCAGTACGGTTACTTGATGAGTGCCTCCTGTGTTTGTGCTTGTATTTGTACAAGACCTTAGCAACCACCGTAACTGGGTCGTGTTCCAGCATTTTAAACTTTGGTGTTAAGTGGTTTAACTGAACATCAGGCCTATCCTTATGCAAGTCGCTATTCAAAATGTGAGGTTAAAGTACTGTTTCCTCTAATTCAATATTGGATTCTCCTGACTACGGGGTTCCATTGTTCGGTACATCAAGATCTCAAGTATTATCAATCTCGCCGTTTATCACTCTTTTTTGGTTGAAAAACATATGGTCTTATCAGGCCATGGCTGGTCTGAATTAATAATCAGGTATATACATAAGAAGAAGAATCCCCAGGGTATACAGAGACAGCCCCAAGAAATGTCCACTACTCTCAAAAATATCCTCGTTCTTGCCTCATATAAGTTCTATTGTTCAGTTTATCAAGAGAACAAGAAAAATAAACTTTTAAGTCACAGTTGCTTGTGCCTGGTGTTGTGGGATTATCGATATTGATTTGCACTGACCAACCTTCGGGTTTCATCTTCACGCATACTCCTCAATTCATCTCTAGTTAACCATACACTCGAGAAGCCTAGTTGGTGTGTGGCAAGGCTTTTTGAATCGACATGGAAGTCCTAATTTGATAGGAGGCTTTAAATAGGAGTTTACATAGCCAACAGTCTCCTTACTTTGTCGGGCCTCGTTAACTGGGTGATTATCGTTGAAGACAATATCGGAACAAGCACGAGTTAGGAATTCCGGCCAACCGTGGTAAGAGCTGGTTTACACAGTGGTGAAGCAGGCGATGGGTCCAGGGTTCAAAGCCCGGAAGGGACGGTAGTTCGTCACTGACGATGAGCTCTAAGGGTTGCGAAACTCGAGTCTAGTGCTTCAGTAGTGTGCGGTTGACTGGAAGAACTGAAGATTGTGCGTTTGGATGATGTCTGAAGGATAATCAGTTCAACTTAATATCGGAATAAAAGTTCACTTCTGTAATTATTATTTGAACTTTCCAATTTGAGAAAACAGTGCAATGAGTTTTCGTTATGCACTAACGAATATGATAATTCAAGAATGCTCTCCTCATTTCTCTTCCTTTGTTGCTAAGGTTAAAGATAATAGTTTTATTCGAGTGTATCGAGAGGTTCAAAAAAAGATTGCAAATTACATAATCGTGTTTGCTAAACGTTCGATCGATTGTTGCCTCCATCGATTCATAATGTCACGTGCTGTGCAATACACGAAACAAGCTGCTTCAATATCTATTTAACTAGTCCTTATTGTCATGATCCGTGTCAGGTTACTGGTATTTATCTTTTTAATTATAACTAGTATCGAATGGATCATTCTTCGCTTGAATGGGTCTAAGAGGACTAATAGTTGGTTTGGTGGCACAAAGCTCGGTGGCATCTACGAATCATATACGGATGTTGATCTCCTAATCACTCAGTTTCTGTTTTTACAACCATTAACCATGCATTTTCATGCGTCGATTTTGGTTGGTGTTTTTTTAGCTACCTATTTGGATAAAAGAGCAAAATGAAGATTGCAATGTTAAGGGCAAATTCAAAGTGAAGTTAGAGGATTCATACTTTTAATTACTCCAGATCTATTGACCTCACTGTGCAACTTGTGATGAGCATATAGGATCTCATTTGATTTCCTTTGTTCCAGGCAACTGGATGAACTCTTCCTCTCCGACTCAATTCTCTGATCCGGGTAAATTTGCTCTGATTGGGGCTGCTGCCCAGTTGGGTGGAATTGTACGAATGACCTTGAGTTTGACTGTCATTTTGATGGAAGCTACCGGGAATGTGATTGTTGGTCTCCCACTACTAATGACCTTGATTGTGGCCAAGTACACCGGGGATTATTTGAGTGAAGTGAGTGAACAACCCTGTCGATCATCATCCGCACACCTCGCTTTTTGTTTCTCCTCTAAAACCCTTTTGGCACTTCTCTTTTATGCATCCGATCGTGATGCAGCCAGTGAAAAAAGACCACGGTATTTTTGAATGGTGAATTTATTCGTTTACGAAACAATCGAAGACTGATTAATGAGAACCATGGTGCACCCGTTTCGACCTTGTTGAACTCGATCAACTGTACGAATCTGTCGACCTAACTGAGGGTCGGAATAATTTCTTATCCAGTCCTAACCCTGGAGGTTGGTGGTAAGGTGAGTCATGTTGACTGTTCTCATCGAGCCTGCGAATTCGGATTGTACCATTTCGTGCATGGACAAAGCGTAATAGTTTGATCAGCTACCTGAGGGTCGAATGGGTAGTTTACTTGCGTTCTGTTAGTGAAGTCCCGTGTTCGTTTCTCAGCTATCTCAATGAGTTCGCACTACTGATGAGACCCAGCAGAGTACTTCTTAGCTTTTCAGTTCACTTTTACTTCGATTTGTTTATGACAAAATTCACCGTGCAATCGAATTAAATACTCGGTTACTCTCATATTATGTGATCAGTCGTGTTTCACAGCGTGAAAGTTAAATTTGTTAGTTTAACAAACATCGACACTAAGTGGTAATAGATCCCCTGCTTCTGAAAGTTTTTTTTTAAAATTATACGCTACATTCGTATCGTAGGATATGGAAACGGACTGTAATAGTCTTCGATCACGTATTTCCGTGTACGCCTTGATAGATATATTGAGAATTGTCATATATAAGCCAAATGCTCTCATCTTGGTCTGAACATAGCCTGGTCTGAATCGGTATTCTTCATTCGTTCTGTATAGCGTTAACACGAGATTTTTGCTTACATTGTAGGAAAGCCTAAATTCCGAACAGTCTTGATTAAATTGTGAAAGGTACTATTTGCGGCAATGAAATCAAACCACTTGATCCAAAAGCAATTGTGGCTAAGACGCACTTGTCAATTGAGACAACAGGGTTGTTCATCATTATTGTGAACTGTCCAGCTTTCATTGCCCTGAAATTTGCCCGTACCAACAATTGGCCACGGGAATGATGCATATGTATCCGTGGTAGGGTGAGGTAAAGGTTTATTCGCTGTTGCTGGGGTACTTTGGGCCCTATGGTCCGAGGTTCGAACCCTGCCTTCGACACCCAACTTTGGTGGTAGACAGCTTTTCTGTCGTCCGATTCAATACCACGTCCAACCTTATTCGGTTCGTCACTCGAAGTCCCAGGGCTTAGGTTACCGTTTTCCATGAATGTACAGCAGGTCGTCGAGAGTATGAGGTTTACCCCTTCTGCTGACCATCACACTAAAGTGTGTAATAAAAAATTAGAAAAAAATGATTGCATAATCAAGGGACACGGATAAATAAAATACCGCATATAGGGCGAAAACCAGGCTAGAGCAAGCATCCAGATGTCGCCAGGTACATTACTCATCACGCGACAAACGCGTGATACGGTTCAAGGTAATTTGATTTCAATAAACGCCTGAACATGCAACATTCACGGAATTCAATGTGAGGTCTACATATTCGTGGTTTCCTAAGGCCATGTACAACAAAGATCGATATTGGTATGTTATTCACAAACGTGTACGGTAAGCCAAACCATTGAAACAGGATATTCCTGAATGTGAAGAAAATGTCGGAGAGATTTCTCATGCAAATGAGTTCTCCGGATACTTTACCAAGAATCATTTCATTGGTAAGATGCTTCCGTTGACCTTCTCGAGGCTCGAGTGGCCAGCTGTTCAATGAACAACAGTATCTGAACAAATCTTGTGTGTTGTGGAGGTGGTTTTACCGTAATTGATTCTCTTCGTTTGTTCCATCTCTTCTCTCTTGACACACTTTACAATAAACCGCCATCATTTTCTGCAGTCAACCAAGTATTTATGAGGTATGAACACGTGCTCTTCTCTTTATTCACAATGCAAGGGTATTTACGATGAACACATCGGTCTCAGCAGCATGGCCATTCTACCTTGGGAACCGGACCCACTCTCTTCCACCAAACGTGCCTATGAGGTTATGTCCTCACCCGTTGTATTTTTCGATCCCGTTATGCGTGTCGGGGATATTGTGGATCACGTGCGCGGAAATCCTCATCATGGATTTCCCATAGTGGAGGGTCCTACAAACCCGGCCCGATTTTCCTACGGGACTCTGGTCGGGCTAATCTCAGCGGAGCATTTAGGAATTCTGCTGAGGGAACGCGTGAGTTAATTTTTAACTTATCTATTTATTCAAACATTCCCTGCATTACTTGTTGTTTAATTAGACAATGGTTCGCGGGATAAACCCTCCTGAAGCTATTCTATGCGATTTCTTGTTGTGGCTGATAACTACTCAGAGCTGGTCTTTGTTGTTAGTTGTTCTTAATTAATGTTTCTAATAGTATAGCTTTGTCAACTGTTTTATTAGCCTTCTTCTCGACTGACACGCGCTCCTGCGATTCAGGTGTACGGAACACACTGTAAGCGCACAACGTAGAAGGATGTGATGATCACTGAGTTCGGGTAGATTTCGCTAACCTGGGACGCGATTTTGCAAATCGTTTAGAAAGAAAAACACTGAAAATCATTTCGTTAACTGGTAGATTTCTTGCACATTCCAGATCCCACTGTGATGCACCATCTCACCCACACATCTGGATGTGGGATAATTTCCCCTATCATGTTTTTCACCCACACACCATATATATGTTTTTATGCATTTATAGTAAATTTATTTAGTTAGGGCGTCTGGTTCACTTCTTATTTGCTTTAAGACTTTAGAAAAGATGCGTGACTCTAGGGTTCAGTTCACGCAATTTTCTCCTAATAGCCCGGATCTCACTGTGATCAAAAATCTGTTTTATGTTTTGAAGAGAGAAGTAAATGTGCTACCTATACATTCAGTTCAGTTCAGTTTGTACAACGGTTAACCATGCATTATCGTGCGCCGGTTTTGTTTGCTGTCTTTTGGCTGCCCATTTGGATGAAGAATAGGAGAAGACAGGAAAGTTGAAAGTAGAGTCGAACAGAAAATGGAGAATTTTAGTGGTCTAAGATTGCAAAGAAATTGAGAAGATGCACGAATGCCACTTTTTACGACACTCAGCCATATCACTCAGTGTCTCTAACCATCGAGAGACTCGAAAAAGTCCTGAACAACAACGGCAGACCAATCGATTATTAGTGTACACAAGCTTTACAGTTTAATTATTATCTGAATAAAGAAGCCAAAAGCAGGTTTGCACAATGTATCCTGGATCATTTCACTGCATCTGTACACGTGCATACTGCAGTCTATGTGATCATTAATGTATGGTCAGTAAATAACAGAATCACTAGCGGAGAAAGGTTGCGGTCAAAATTACTCACCAAACACATTTGTTACCAAGGTAGCGCCAGAGTGATAAGCCATTCACGCTGTTTACACAGTTTGGGATGGTAATTTTGAAGAGCTAGTGCCTCGGCGTATTACAGAACCTTGGTGTTGTTTGTGCTGTAGAGGATTCTGAACGCATCGCGCAGCGTGGCAGTGTTTCATTTCGACTAGGTGTTGTGTGATCGACGAACTGAGTTTCCTACGCGTCATTGGTGACCTCATACTTCCGAAGTTTCCACTCATTGTTTTCTAAAGCCAGACCGGGATGTGCTCGGTTACTCGATAACGCACTTGTCTCTCCATTCTGCCGATGTAGATGGCCGAGCATCCACACTTGAACTAGTAGATACAATTAGATTTGGCGTGGGGAGACAGCGGTTCTTTCACCGATGG